ACAACCCAAAAGGTGTCAAGCACACCAGGTGCTGGGTCAGCGACAGAACGACCCTTGTTTGGCAAGCATACCTGTATAACAGCAGACCCACAGAAAGCGACACCCTGGTGCGGCAGTTGAACAGTTGTTGCAGTGCAAATGCCCAAATGGGTGCACAACTTGTCTGCAAGAGACACAAGGCACGCCAAGTCCGAGGTGTTGCTTTGCAATGTGAGGCCTTACCGAACTCAAGGTGCTGGCAGAAATGCGAGGGCTACGCAGAGTCCCCGGCACACACAGAGAAAAGAAGAGCTAATGATGCACTAATACCGAGTGGTTCTTCAGGTCAGACCCGGAGAGCTCTGTGTAGCTCAAAAGCTTCACGCTTCCACCAACAGAAGTTGGTCCAATAAAAGATATTACCTCACCCATCTTAGGGATTCATGGCCATGCTGACATAGCTCAGCAAATTCAGCACCGATTTGTCATGAGCAAGTGCTGCGCCACTCAAACTCCTTACCCCAGTGCTGTTCTGCTCTGCCCTTCCACAGCAACAAGGGAAAGGCTACCTGCACCAAAACTCTGACACTAAACAAAGACCCTAATCTCCCTCCAGGCAAGCTCACCTGGGCGGGGAGCTGTCCTTTTTCAAGATGATCACTCAAAGACATGGTACAGCTATGCCCAGATTGAAAAACAGAAATGCTAGCCATTGTAGGAGGTTTTGTGGATACGTTAGTGGGCAGAAACTGGTTGAGGTAGAAAGACGATAAACCGCTGGAAGCCGTATAACAGAAGCCATTGGCAAGACGACTTCAGCAAGGGATCAAGCACCAAAGTGTGAAATACAGGCCCAATAAGGGGCTTCATGCAGTGCCCCTGCTTTCAGGAACACCTGTACACAGGGAAAGCGAGGAATTGTAGCAGGAGTTTGAAGTAAATACGACTCAAGCACTACCCACTTGCCAGACACAATCTGACAAGCAGAAAGAGTGACCCAGCCTCACACCTGCTTGGGAGAGTAACTGTCGATGGAGGGCCAAGAGAAAACGCTTCTCAGGCACTCCAGCTAGAGAGGTGAGATTGCCACATATGCAGATATTCAGTGCAGAGGATGCTGTGCCACACCACCACAGCAGGAGTCAAAAACAGCATCATCCACAGTGCCCATCCGGGGATTTGAAGGGTATGGACTCAGCCAGGAGATGTGCTATTCTATCTAGGCACGAATGCTGCCAGCAGAGATAGGTACCAAGTGTGACATCTTCAATCGAGTGAAAGCAAACCATTGAGAACACGAGAGTGCTGACCATCCTTGGTCCGAGCGTGCATCGAACAGGAAAGACGACCTCTTATCACAACCTGCTAATCAGCTTTTCAAACGGACCTGTTTTGCAACACACCGAGTAGCAAGAGAACATACATTTTAAATTACAATTAGGAACCAACAACAGTGCAAGGTTAATGAGCAGCTTGTTTTGACAATTCTCCAATACACCAGTTCCAGTACTGGTTTTCTAGCCCTTGTCAGCACAGTCAAATGGGTTAGCAGAAGACAGTACAAAGAGCAAAGAACCCAGTAATATTAAAAGCTTCCGTAGGCTCAGGGACCCATCTGTAGCAGTGTCTGGTATCATAGCACAGCTCACACACTCCTGGCAGAAGGACAAAACCCTCAGTGCCCACCACTAAGGAGCTCCTTGGGCTACAGACAATGAATCCTGGCACAGTTACAGGAGAGCCGTACGCCAGGAAACTAGACCAGACGTAATACGGTTAACAGGAGTGTCAGTCAGCCCCATTGGAATTGAACATCCCATTCCCCTTGCAAAAGAGAAGCTGGCCAGCAGCCTGCCAAGCCCCAGGAATCCCACCTCCCCAAGCCAGAGGTCAGAGCCCCCCTGAGAGCCAGTCCTGAAGCAGCACAGAAGAACCTGTCTAAAAGCAATGGGGACCCTGTTTCTGTTCCTTGAGGACATTCCGGATGCTGCTGAGAGTAGTACAAAGTCACCAACGAGGAAATCAGCCTGGGACAGACCCCCCAAGTGGTGCAAGCTGGAGTCAGCAGAGCTATGCCCATTTATACCAGCAGATGATCTGGCCCATCAGCAGAAGCAAACAGGCAGCAGAGGACATATCCATCTCAGTGGCCAAACATGCCACTGAGGGAGGAAGTTCTCCAAGAACAAGCAGTTGTGGGCTCAGAAAGCCAATGAGATTCAGAGATAGCTGCTTTGGACACATGTCCAGCAAATGGCAGACATCTACCAGGTGATCTCCCCCGGCCTAGAGATCTCCATTGTTGTGTTATTAATTAGCTGCATTCATTTATGGCTGTTATATTTGGTGGTTGTTTTTTTTTAATTAAATGCAAATAAAAGGGGACATGTTACAGCAGCCACTGGCATCACCAGATCCTGACCTCTGCCATGTGACAGGAATATTACCCTAGTAACCCTAACCTCCTTACATGACTAGAGCTGGGGAGTCAAGAGCACACTCTGACCATACGGCAAGGATAAAGTTGTCAGAAGCATGAAAAAATTCATTAGTACCATCTGATGATTTAAAAATATACCAATGTAATATGGCAAAAAGCATCCCTCTCCTCTGGCTAAAATATAAATACACAGAGAACCTGATCTCAACTTCCACTTAAATCAGAAAAGCTTTGCTTCAGTCTTGCAATGGGAAAAGGATGTGATCCAGAAGAGACAGCCAGTCAGAGCCCCGTGCTGTTGTGAAAGGAAGCCTTCCACCAAACATATAAAATCTAGTCATCTGCCTGCCAGCGCCATATCCAAAACTGTTCAGAAGGGCCTGAGGAGAAGGCATACAGCAAGGCACAGACACAGTAACGGGTTTAGTAAAGGAGAATGTAAAGCCACAGACAAAGAGAGATGAGACTAGCACAGAAATACACTCTAGAATGGAGGAGTGAGAGCCCAATCCAAGTCCCCCTGGAGTCCACAGGGTCCTTCCGCTGGGCTCATTAAGGGCTCAGTCCAATGCCTAGTGCAATCAAGGAACAGACTGGGGGAGGGGCGAGAAAGCACTGGAAGGGGGTATTTCCCCAGCAATCCCCTTTATTGTAGGGGCTTGATCCTGCTCCCACTCGGGTCAGTGGAAAAAGCCTCCATTGACCAGAGTGGAGCAAGAAGCGTGGCAGCTGATGGAAGCTGCTCTCTTTCCAGCTGAGCTTTGACTTTCTCCAACCTCCTTCCCTTCTACCCTTTTTCTTTCTTCCTTTGTCACCGTTTCTTTTTGCCACCCACACTTTTCATAGACATTTTTAGATACGAACCAACACACACACACGCAAAATCAAATTCCTTCCATTCACCTAATAGAAAGTTACGACCCAATTTACAGGCAGCCTGTCACGGTACAGAGAAGAGACCATTTGCCCGGTGGGATTACAGCCAATGGTCAATGAGAAGGGAGCGCACGGGTCACGGGCAGGGCATGGGGAAGCGTCCCCCTGCTTTTAGCAGGGTTGGGGCAATGCACTCCACTTTTCTGGAACCCCTGATCAGTACCAGCAAGGGGGGTGGTGGTAATAGAGCCAGAACGCCAAGGGCTCAGCACAGTGGGAGCCAAGTGCTGTGCACAGTCTGACGTACAGAGGACCAGGCTGACGCTGTAGAATGGCATCACTCTGCCAGCAGCCGCCCTTCTTGGGAAACTCCTTTGCCACCTGCCCAGGGTTTTGGTCTAGCTCTTGTCTGTCTGAACACAGCCCCATTAAGTACGACTCCCCCATCAGGCTATTTTAGGGACATGAGTAAACAGCATGCTTTGCTTCTGCCTCTAGCATTTTTCGTGGGCCAATTCCAGCAGCAGCACCAGAGGGGCTGGAGAGCCCAAACTGGTGACTCTTCCTAGTGATTTTGCAAGGCTATGTTAATTCTAGTGAGGCCAGGCAGCCCTTCTGTGCCTCCCCCCTCTCCCAAAAACATACAGGAACCATCAGGTGTGTCTACATAGCTCCTCAGCCCATACCACACCGGCATTTTGCCATGTATGTATCCAGCACAGCCCCACTGCTGTCCGTCAGGCCCCGGGGACCTACTGTCCTAACCCCCCTCCCCGACACAGGGCATGCAGCCCCTGCCCCCATATGAGGCATGCCATCGCCTCCATAGCGCCTCTCTCGGGCTCCCCGACCCCTGCTCCTCCAGATCCCCCTTATTGCATTGCTACAGCCCCGTCCACTGCCCCATAGAGACCGTCACCTCTGTCTCAATGCCACCCTAGACAGGACCTGGCCTCTGGCCCTCATCAGACCCCCATGGGGCACCTCGTATCGGGCCTGCAGCTCTGTCGCCGGAGCCCCGCAGGGGGTGCCTGGCTCCCCAACCCACTAGATCGCTGAGCGGTGTGGGGCAGCCAGACCCCGTCCCCAGAGCTCCCCCTTCCCCCCCAGACCCCGTCCCCAGGGCCCCCCCAGACCCCGTCCCCAGGGATCCTCCTTCCCCCCCATGGCCCCCGGCAGCCCCCCCGCCGGAGAGCGCGGCTCGCCCCGGACTGGGGCCGCTCCGGCCCCTCCATCCTGCCGGGCTGCGCCCGCCCCCTACCTCCTTGCAGGCGTGCAGCTCCCGCTCCGCGCCCCGGCTGCCCTGGGCGGCGGCCCCCGCCCACAGCAGCAGCAGCAGCAGCCGGAGCCCGGCCCGGAGGCGGCGGCAGCCCGCGGGCGGACGCAGCCGGCCGGCCCCAGCCATGGTGCAGCGGAGGCGGCGGCGGGGCTCAGGTGCAGCCGCCGCGGGGGGGCCGGAGGACGCCGGAGCCCCGCCCCGCCCCCGGCAACCGCCGCCGCGCGCACCTGGCCACGCACCTGCGGCTCGAAAGATGCGCCCGCGCCCGCGCCGCGCGCGCCAAGCCGCCCCCGCCCCCGCGCGCGTGCTCGGGCTCGTGCGCACCGCGCTCGGGGGCAACGCGCCGCGCGCCCAACTCCGCGCTCTCCCGCGCGCGCCGCCCGCCTGCAGCCTCCGCGGCCGCCAGGGGGAGCCCCAGCTCCGGCGCCTCCGCCCGTCGCCCGGCAACCGCGGCCCGTCGCCTGGCAACCGCGGCCGGGCTCGCAAACCGCGCGCCGCAGGATGCCGCCCACCCGGGACCCCTTCCCCTGCCCCCGCTGCGAGAACGAGGACACCTTCACGGGCCGGGCCGGGCCGAGCCAGGTAAGGGCCCCGCCGCCCCCTGCTGGCCTAGCCCGAGTTCCCAGCCGGACCGCCGTCGCCCAGCGACCCACCCCGCTGCCAGCATGCAGCCGCCTCTGGCGGGAACCCGGCAGCTGGTGAGCAGAGGCGGCTGCTAGGAAGGGAAGGATCTAAACTGGGGAGGCGGGATCGGGACTCCAGTGTCCGCTGCGAAAGATTTAGCCTCAGCTTCCCGCTTGTCTGGATCTTACACATGGCAACAAACTGGCCGGGCCAGGGGAGAGGCAGGGCCTGAAACTACTTTTGACTCCTTTTATACAGAAAATGTCTGGCTTGCGAGTCAGCGGGGTCCCTTTGAAATCAACCTGTCAGTGTTTTAGTAAAAAGAAAAGGAGGACTTGTGGCACCTTAGAGACTAACCAATTTATTTGAGCATGAGCTTTCGTGAGCTACAGCTCACTTCATCGGATGTATACCGTGGAAACTGCAGCAGATATTATATACACACACAGAGACCATGAAACAATACCCCCTCCCACCCCACTGTCCTGCTGGTAATAGCTTATCTAAAGTGATCATCAGGTGGGCCATTTCCAGCACAAATCCAGGTTTTCTCATCCTCCACCCCCCCACACAAATTCACTCTCCTGCTGGTGATAGCCCATCCAAAGTGACAACTCTCTTCACAATGTGCATGATAATCAAGTTGGGCTATTTCCTGCACAAATCCAGGTTTTCTCACATCCCCCCCACTCCCATACACACATGAGCTACTGATGGAAATGGGGGCTGAGTTCCCGTGCGGGTGTGCAGAGCTCATTGCAGGCTCTGACCTTTTACCAGAGTTTGATACTCCAGCCCTGGCTCTGGTCAATAGGCCCTGTGTTAAAAAAGGAGCAAACAAAACAATCAAGAACCCCACAACTCTGCAGACAAGATGAGTAAGACCAGATCTTCACTAGCAGAGGAGCAAGGAATCTGAGTGGGCAGAAAGCAGCAGTGGGTTTCTTGCTGTATTTAAACTACGTCCGAAGTTTGCCTTGGGCAGTCACTGGAAAGGGCTCTGGGCCGGGCGGGACGGGGACAGGACACAGGAGTTACCTGTTTGCTCTGATGGGCAGTGGCTTTCACTGCCAATTATTTTTAGGCCCCCATCACAGAGCAGGATGGATCCCCTAGCTCTAGGGGCTGCACAAACACAGAACAAGATGGTCTCCATCTCAAAAGAGCTGTTATGGGTCCTAACAGCCCAGGAGATGCCTGGGAGAGCGGGGATGCCAGCGGCATAAACCTTCCTTGTTGCACCAATATGACAGGTCTAGGCAGTGGCCTCCTGCAGAGCCCTGCTGGCATGTAGCGGGGCGGGGCGTGGACAGTGGATCCCCTGGCATCCCAAGTGCCTGCAGTCAAATCACGGTGATAGAGGGCTAACTTCCTCTACATATGGAATCACCCCCACACACACATGTCTGGAGGATGCCCTGATGCCAGGGATAGCTCAGTGGTTTGAGCATTGGCCTGCTAAACCCAGGGTTGTGAGTTCAATCCTTGAGGGGGCTGTTTAGGGATCTGGGGCAAAAATTGGGGGATTGGTCCTGCTTTGAGCAGGGGGTTGGACTAGATGACCTCCTGAGGTCCCTTCCAACCCTGATATTCTATGATTCTATGAAAATGATTCAATGGCAAAGACTGTCTGACAGCCGGTGTTCAGAGCATGAGCGGCTGACTGTTGTTTGTTCCAGACAGGCCCTTATGCTGAGCCCACCCACCGGGCCCAGCAGCGGGACCCCTGGAATCGCCTGCACAGAACAGCCACCCTGTCCAGCACCAGGAAGGAAGTCTGGTATACGGAACCTGAGGTAGAGGTCCCCAAGTGCCCCTCCATCCCACTCTGCCTTTTGCTGCTCACCACCTCACACACACTGGTTACCCGCCCCCGAAGGGCACAGCCTGAAATGGTTCAGAATTAGCAGATAAAAGTTCCCCAGTGCACAGCCATCCCCTCGCCCAGGCTGGGCAGCCACACTGGCCATGCCAAGGGCATAGTAAAGCCTTTCACCTGCAACTGCATTGGTTTCCTTTCTGTGCTCCACTTGCTCCCCTGGGCTTTGCTTTCTGTCCAGCAGCATCCCAAGCCATGCTCGTGTGCTGTCCCCACCCCAAGCAGCAGAGAGGAAGCGTGTACGCCTCTCGGAACACTTTGCAGCTCTCTAGATGCTTTCCAAGCACTTGACAAACATTAACCTTGCCTCGCAATCCTCCAGCCCTTGGGCAGAGGTGGATTAAGATTTACTGGGGCCCTGGGCACAAAACACCTCATGAAAAGCCCAGGCCTACCCACTTTTTAACATGGGCGTAGTTTGGGGGCAGGGGGCTGCGTTGCCCCCCCAAACCACAAGCCTTGGGCAGGTGCAGAGTGGCACCGGCAGAGACTGTGCTTTGTGGGGGGAGCCGATGAAGTGATCAGCCCCTCCTTCGTGAAGCAAGGTCCCTGCTGGCAGCATTCCCAGGGAATGAGGGGAGTCTTAGCCACCCCTCACCATGAGGGCCAGCCCCTCTCCATGGCCCTGCCCCTGCTCTTCCCCCCGGAGGCCCCACTGCCTGGCTGGGGGGAAGAGAGGGGACATGGGCCAGTGTTCTGCTCTCAGGCAACCTGGCCTCCTGCCCAGGGCAAGTGGAAGATTCGGGGCTCCCCACAGCAGCCTGGACTCCATGGGCAGCACTTACCACCACCTGGCTTTTGCTTCCAGGTAGCCTGAGCAGGAAGCAGGGCCTTGGGGTGGTGGGAAGAGGAGGAGCAGGGGCAGGGCCACAGAGAGAGGTGGGGCCTCATGCCTCCCCTCTTCTATCAATGTTCTGGTGCTCCTGCCGAGGGCCCCCGGGCATGGGCCAAGTGCATTGATCCCCCATTGCCCTTGGGTTATATCTGTGTTAAAGATAGGGAAACCGAGATGCAGAAAGGCAAAACAGCTTGCCCAGGTCACACAGTGCGTCTGTGGCAGAGTTGAGAGTAGGACTCACTGCTCTGCTCTACCCACTCAGATACCTCCCCTCCCCAGAGCTGGGAGCACAGCTCAGGAGTCCTGACTCCGATGCCCCTGCTCTAACCAGTAGAATAACAGAGAGAAAGTCTTCCCTGTGTAACTCCCCACACACAGTGGAGCTGCAGCAGAATACAATTTGTCCCCTGCCTCAGGTGAAGCCCACGCAACACCCAGGGATGAGACGCCTTTACCAGGGTTGTCAGAGGCTCTGGCTAGTGACTCCCTCTGAACCCTTCTGCAGGTTCCCAGAGACAGCCTGGATTTTAAGATGACCTCGCTCTACAACCACCACAAGGAGCAGCTCAGAGACAAGAGCCAGACAGTCATCCACAAGGAGACCCTCTTGGATGACCATGGGTGAGCAGGAGCAAGTGGCCTTTCCCCAATCTCAGGCAGGGCAGAGCCTCCTCTGGGAGCAGCTTATTGGTGACAGCAAATGCCGCAGTCTGCTCACAGCCTCAAGGGCACCAGTAGCAATGGCTGTTCAGCCTTGTCATGCAGCAGGTGCGCCCCATCCCCTTTTGGGGGCAGGGCAAGGGCTACTGCAGTCCTGGGGCTTAGTTCGCTTGTCCTCCCTTAGCCTCAGGGAAGTGTGGCCTAATGGTCAGAGTCAGTCCGACTGCCCCAGGCCTTCTGGTAGGGTGGCGTTAAACAGTCTAGGGTCTGATGGCCTGGTTTAGCAGACAAATGCAAACCTCTTGGCCTAAGGTGGGAAGACTGCCACCCCAAGGGTGGGGTTGGCAGAAGGGTTGGCAGCAGGGGTAGGGGAATCCAGGCCCACCCTACTCCACCAGGACCCAGCCTAGGGCCCTAAAAGTGGCAGAACCTTCCGCCACTGGGTATGGGGGGATCCCACTGCAACACGGTGACAGCATTCAGCCTCATAGGTCGTCCCCCTGGGCCACTTCCTACCCCATCTCCTCGTGTGGTGGTCCTGGCATCCCCAGCATCCCAGGGTTCCTCAGTGTGGGCAGCTCCCACCCCTCTTGGGCATCTTTCATCACATCTAGCTTCTGCAGTCTGGAGATTCAGCAGCTCCTGCATCCTCCCTTTTCAGCAGTCAGCCCCAACTGAGCTGCGTTGCTCCCTTTTATACCTGGGTTCCAGCTGGCTCATGCCCAGCAGGGCCATGGGGGCATGGCCTCCTTGGCCCATAGGGTGGGCTTAACTCCTGCTGGACCAGTGCGGGACTGGTGTGCGCTGTCACAAGACTACATCCTGCAGAATAGTCTGGCCTCTTGGCTTGTGCATGGAGGAGGTCTAAGCCTAGGTTCAGTGGTGCTGCAGGGTCATTATGGGGAGGGAACGCACCTCCCTGGCAACAGCTCCCAAAATGACCCTGCCCCAGCAGCTCACCTTCAGCCAATACAGCTGAAGACTCCAGCTCCTGGTTCCCAATTTTTGTAGCCATCTGTCCCAATCGGCCAACAGTACCAGGATGTGCCCGGATTCCCCCGCATTCAAACCCACCATCAGCCTTAGGCTGTACCCACTTGCCTGGGGTTTGGAGGAGCCCAGATTCTAGTGCAGGGGAGCTGGGCACCACCCTGGGGCAGCTAGGGAATGGGGCAGGGCAGAAGGTCTCAGTCACAACGTCCTAGTGTTGGCATGTAGCCCAGCATGCTGCTAGCTGATCACAGCATTGGCAGCACCAGGGACGGAGAAAACTAGGAGATCTGGTGTGGACAGTTCTGACGGTGCCCCCGGTACCATGACAAAAGAGTGGGGTGTTTGAAGTTAATGACTAGCAGGGGGCTTCAGACTCCATATGCTGCAGCTAGTTACTGTGAGAATGATGCTAGGAGAGACAGGGGTTTGCAGCCTAGACCCAAAAACGCAGGACTCCCAGGACAGAAGAGCTGCTCTGTTTACATTAGGTTTGGGCATTCGAGGCTCATGGGAGGGCAGCTCCTTTGCACAGTCTGCTGCCTTGCCTGGGTTTCCTGCGACGTTCCTCCCCAGCAGCACAAATCCTGGCCCTGCAGAGCAGTACATAAACGCAGGGCAGCCCCGACATCAGCAAGTCACTTGGCCAGCACGTGGCTAGGCACTATCTTACCTGCTGCCGACCTTGCCAGCTTGCTGGGCACTGCAGGAGGAGTGGCATGGCCTTGGTCACACTGACCGCTGCTCTGAACGGGTTCCATTGTTAGACAGCACACTGGTGAGTCCCCACTAGGTACCAGCTGATCACGGGGATGCCTGCGATTTGTAGCTAATTCCACTAAGAGCCTGTGCGTGGGATACGAGCCAGCTGGAAGGAGCCCCTTGCTGGGCCAGAGAGCAGCTACCCACGCTGCATAAAGGCTAATGGACCCCTGCTCAGAACAGAACCCTCAACCTGAGCTTGCTTCCTCAGCCCCCGACTCCACATCCTCCTAGCTCTGCCTCCAGCCAGTAGCCACCCTCCCTTCTCAGGCGCTGGGGTGGGAACAATCTGAACTTGCCGCTGGGAGCCAGTGGAACTTATTTGGCAGCTTTTCACAGGCTTCCAAACCCTGCGGGCCGGGGGAGGGGTGTCATCAGCAGAGCCTTGTGTCCCAGAGGCGCAATCACAGACCCTGGCCACAGTGTTGCTGTCAATTGTCAATTTCTCCTTCCCTACAAATGGAGGAGGAGGAGAAGGAGGAGGCAGAACCAGATAGGATATTGTGCTCTTTGCAGGGTTGCCAACTGTTGTGATTTTATCACACGTCCTGCAATATTTGGTGTTTTTCTTCAAGCCCCAGCTCCTGGAGTGGGAGACTCTCAGCTTTTATTTATAAAAAGGACATTTCCAGCCCTCTGGGCTGCAGAGAAAAGCTTGGAAATGTGCCCTTAGTCTGACCAGAGAGGCTCAAAAAGCAGGAGGCAAAGAAACCCAAAAGCATCATCTGGGAAGTCTTGTGGCTTTGGGGGGCCTCACTCCTTGAAACCTTGGGGCCGGTGATGCTGCACCTGACAACCAATCAAGAGGCAATTAATACATGAAAGATGATCAAATGATCATTACCAAGGGCATGTTGCCACAGGAGGAAGAAAGGTCTGATCATGTTTTTCCCCTTTGAAAGCTCAGTCCTGCAGTCAGACCCAGTAGCATGGATAGCTGCAAGGAGCTGCTGGTCCCTTTGTCGGGAGCCCTGAGGGCATGCACTAAACCCACCCAGATGTTTCTCTGTGTTACAGTAGCACCAGGGGGCACAACCAGAATGCAGGTGGTATGGTGCTAGGTGCTGGCACGTACCTAGTAAGAGCTGGCCTCTGCCCCAGGGAGTGCAGAATCTGGAATTCTAATGCCTCTCCCACCCCTCCTGCCTACTCCAGAGCACTGAAGGGTCTCGAGCCTGTGAAGGAACCCGAGCCGCCCCCAGTGGAGCACCGTACAGCCAGGGGCCTGTCTGTGAGATGCTGGGTCAGCCCCACAAAGGAGTCGATTCACAGCATCGAGGGAGCCATCGGTAAGGGCAGCAGGCAGCTGCCTGTGCCTCCATCTTAATGGAGATCAGCCAGTGGGATGGGCCTCAAAATGCATCATGGCCCACAAGGTTGAGAGTCTGGGAGGGCGAGGGACCGGCTGGTGGGGCAGTAACAAAGGGGCTGCTCCCTGAGTGCGGGGCACGGTGGAGGCTGCTCCACTGCACTGTTACCATTAGCCACACGGGGATCCCAGCTCCAGTGTGGCTGTGGTGTGGGGCTGCCTGGGCAAATCTTATCCTAGCTACCTGACAGGAACTATTCTGCAAGGATCGGTGGCCCAGAGATTAGGAGGCTGGCTGTGAGAGGCACTGAGTACTCACTGAAGAGACTCTCCCAAGGCCACCCAGTGAGCCTGTGTCGGAACTGCGGATGTGTGAGGCAGCATGACCTTATGGATAGGGGACTGGCCTGGGAGTCAGGAGGCCTGGTCAGTGTCACCCACCTGTGTGACCCTGGGTGAATCACAACACATCCCTGCCTCCATTTCCCCATCTGTATAATGGGAGTAATGATGGTGCCCTTCCTTTGTGACATACTTGGAGATCTACACCCACCGTGCCCTGGACAAGAGTGAAGTATGGTAACTACTAGAACCAGAGTCCCCGTTCAGTCCAGCGTGAGGCCTGGCCTGATGCCACCTTCCACACTTGGTAGTAGTAATCATGTGATTTTCTCCTTCCCTAGAGTGTCCCCACACAGCTGCCACCAACAGTGGATACTCCCGCAAGGAAAACGGCAGTTTCTTCTCTCAGTGAGGAGTTTGCTGGCTTGTGCCCTGGCTGTGCGACTCTGGACCCACTTCCAACTTGAGTGAACCTTCTTCTGTCTGCTCTGCGTGCATTAAACCCCTCTGGTCAGCAAAGCTCATCCAGAAAAACACAGCCATGAACAGGGAGAGATTTTCATTTAATTTCAATCTTGTTTCCGTCCTCTTTGCTGCATTCATCCCTCCATGCTGGGTAACTGCTCTGTCCCTTGCCTGTGGGCCAGACAGCTGAGAGCTACACAGTATCTCAGCAGCAAGTACTGACCTTCACGCATCAGCCCATAATACGTTATGCTACCTTCTCCACCTCCAACATGGTTCCAGTCAGCCACCCAGTCTGATCCTCTAATTCTGGGGGCCCAACTTGGTGCTCAGCACCCACAATCCCCAATAAAGCCTGGAGGGACAGTGGATAACCAATCAGACCCTTTATTAACTTGGGCTTCCAATAATCAGGGCTCCTAAAATGAGAGGCTGTTTTCCAGAAGCTGGCCTGTGGGCGTGGGCATGAGCAGGCACCGTGCTGGTTTATTCATTAAAGAACATTGGGGCATTCAATCAACTGAAAAGGCAGCAAATTCCAAACTAATACAAGGACATTTTTTTTTTCCACACAATATATACTTAGCCTAGGGAACTCACTTCCACAAGAAGTTGAGGCCATGAATTTGCAAGATTTTAAAAGGGACTGAGGATTTTTCTATGGAAAGGAGAAAATCCAGGGATATTAACCTTCGTGCTGCAGGGCTCAAACTCATCTTTATTAGAGCCCAGGATGAGACCTAATGTGGGGGCAAATTACCCCCATTCTGCTCTCCCAAGGTTCTTACACCACCCTGTGAAGCAGCTGGGGCTGGGCACTGCCAGACAGGGCTATATGGAGCCATGGGCTGATTGGCATTGGGGGTTCCTATGCGCCTGCCATTTGGGGATTAAGTCATCATGGACAGAAATCCAGCTTCCCTGCAAGATGCTTTGTAAAAAAGCACAAGTGATTTGTTTGGTCTCTTTCATGCCAGCAAGTTCACCCCTTAGCTCTGCCCCCTTGGGAAGAGTTGCTTTTCTCTGTCCTTACAATGGTTCCAGCACGGGTGCACAAATGTGCTCAGGAGTCACGGGATGCGGTCACACATCATCTCCATGGTGAAAAAATGGTCTTCAGCAAGGTAATGCAGGCCCCTGCACAACACCCAGCACCAGCACAGCTCCAGCCAGGGGCTCGCAAACCCACCTGACGCTCCCAGGGCGGGAGACTTAAACCAGCCATCTCCCAGCTTTCTAAGGTGAACTAGTTGGGGGGAAGCCCCATTGCAGCTGGGCTGCCTCAGAAAGCTCGTGCTAGCAGGGACTAAATGGAATTAGTTACATCAGTACAAATACCTAAGGTAGATGGATTTAAACCAGGTTAATTCATTGAATTACCAGGTGAAAACAACCCAGATTAAGTGGATCTATAGTGGAGGTTTACACCTGTGTAATTAAATGGATCATTTATACTGGTGCAAAAACAGCCATGTGCAGATCAATCCTATCAAGTATCAGTGGTTATACATGACACATCCAGCCCCAGGGTCAGGCCATAGGTGAAAGGAGTCTGATGATCTCAACTCTACAGCTGCTTTGTATTTGTCTGAACTCCTCTGGGGAATAGGTGGTCTTAGAGTAGGAGGAGCCAGTCAGAGGTGAAGTGCGTAGATTGAGACAGACAATAAGGCTTGTCAGAATTCAGGCACCTTTCCAGTGTGGAAAATGCAACTGTAGCACCTGCTTGCATTACACCTCGCTCACACGAGCAGCTGCCCACTTCCCCCTCCATGTATGCCTCAAGAACAAGACTCCCACACACCAGTTTATTGGAGCTGTGGATCAGCTCATGTTTATTCCTCTACACTCATTGCTGGCCCAGCCCTGCCTTAGCCTGCACAATAGGGAAAGAGCAATGGTAGGCTCCCTACACGATTCTTCACTGGTCTGAAAAACTCTTCCATTAAAAAAAAAAGTTCCTCTCTTGGCAATAGAAGAGGATGACGGCAGGATGGATGGGCTGCTAACCAGCCTTCCAGAACCATAGCTCCAGCCAAACATTACAGCAGCAAAAGGTGTGAACCTCACCACCCTAATCTGTTTCAGTGCCACGTTAACCTCCGACTCCCGTCAGGGCTAAGGCACCTCTGCCCTACAGGGACTAACACCACAACGGGGTGTGTGCGTGTTTCTGACTAGCATGTCCCCAAGAACAGGAGCTGGGCTGATGGACACTTTCTTCCATCCACCTTGCTGTGGGTACCCGGGGGGTGAGCCTGGCACAGCAGCAGCACGGAGTGGGGGTTTTGCACACCTGTGAGCACCATAGCTATGTCAACCCAAAACGTAGGCCGTACCTCAGCAGAAGAATAATCAAGCTTGTGGGTTTGTCGCAGAGCTCCCCCCCTTTCAGGAGTTAGGCCTGGCTCAATTCCCTGCTCTGCTAGAGGAGGAAGAGGATTGGAAGAGAGATCTCCCACCCCAGGAGCTTGCCCAAACCCCTGGGCCATTGGGTATTCTGCTGTGGGTCTCCTCCAATCTCTGGATAATTAAATGTGACTGGTGCTCAGGGACTGGACCTTGACTGTTTCTGAGCTAGAATCATTCTCTCTCTGGCCCAACACAACTTTCATTATTTAGACACCGTGGACCAGCTTCAAGAGGCGGGACTGAGAGAAACCCACATCACAGTATCCCAAGCCCTGCAGGCAAGATGGGCAGCTGAATTCCTCTGGGGTTCAGGCAGGAAACAGGCATACGTTCACCTAGAGGGAAGCGGCAACAGGCACCGTGTTCAGGCTCAGCAAGAGTTCTGTGGATTACAGTGAGCTGAAAACTGGGATGTAGGAACTGGAATACCAGCCTGAGCCCCCCAAGTTGCTTTTCCTGGTGCAGTGAAGCACTCTCAGTGAGAGGCCACCAAGAGGCTGCTCCACCTGCTTGTACGTGGGTGACTAAGGTATTACTACAGCCAATCAGTCTCATCACCCACAGCTCATCAGCCCTACTCAGACAGTCCCACTGAAGTCAAAATGCTCACTCACCTGCGTAAGGGCTGCAGCCCTAGGGACGGGTTCATAGGACCAGGCCTCATGGTATGTGTGATGTCAGAATGACACCTGCTGGGGTCTTGCCAGTGAAGCAGACAGTGCCAGAGGGGTTCAGAGAGGCCACTGAAAGCACACTCTGGGAGGGAGAGCTGAGCTGAGCTAGATTTCAGTGCCCCTTTAATAACACCATTACATTTTCATGATTGGGGGTGGGGGGTTATTTTGTGTGTAAGCCATTGACAGAGAAAACCTGCTGACGGGCATTGCTGTGTTTCTCCACCCCATGCTAGCTTGCTTTCACACCCATTTCAGCCCTGCTCCCCACATTTGCTGTAAGCTCACCCCCATTACCTTCAAGCTGTTTGTACTAGGGTGTGCAAAGCAAGTATCCCCAGGATACTCCTGAGCTACTTGTCAGCTCGCAAGGGTACTGCGCTCCCAGTGCTGGGAGTTCACACAACACACCCACGATACCAACCCAGTCACCCCAGGCCACACATGCCAAGCAGGATGGTCTTGGGTGCCAAAACAAACCTGTACTCTCAGCAATTGCCCTGGAAGGGCCAGAAATGCAGGGAAAATAATCAAAGGCTGGAGCCATTGAAGTGGTTTTAATACTGAGAGCTATAAACTCCCATTGGAGCTTTGAGCAAAGACCACCTTGTGCCCTCCCATTACAGTCACCCATTAGCCTAGGAGCAGGATCATTTATTTTCTTTTGGAGAATATTAAGCTACTCCAGCCTGCATACCATTTGAGGAGCTGAGATTACAAGGGGAATTTTAAGGAGTGGAGAGTAACACACTGTGGCCTGGATTTTGAAAGCTCAGTTCCATTCACAGCACTAAACTAAGGGGCCAGATTTCCTGTACACAGCATGATGAGCCTTCTTGGAAACCTGCCCCTCTCTGCCCAGCCACCATTGTAGGTTCAGGGAGGGATAGCTCAGCGGTTTGGCCTGCTAAACCCAGGGCTGGGAATCTGGGGAAAAAAACTGGGGATTGGTCCTGCTTTGAGCAGGGGGTTGGACTAGCTGACCTCCTGAGGTCCCTTTCACCCCTGAGATTCGCAGGGTTGAAGCCTAGATGGAGATCACAGCCATGCAGCTAACTCACCCTGTGGCCAATGGGGCAGGAGAACAACAGGCCGCCACCCCGTTTAAATGCAGATTTACGGGATTTTTTTTATAGCTTGGCCCCCCGCCCAGAGCGGCCTGCACGCCTTAGGGAGGGAGTAAGGGCCATGTGGTTCCAGGACAGATGGAGCCACAAGCCTGGCGGGGGCGGCTGGCCGGACACGGCAGGAGTCCAGGGTCCAACGCTTCCCTGTGAACACAGCGGCCCAGCTGGGGGGAACGGGCAGGCCGGGGCGTTACTGCCCCGGGGGGGGGCCGTGAACAGAGCCTCCAGCGGCTCCCCCGCAGCACTTGCCTCGCCCCCTCCCCCGCCGCGCGCGCACCCAGCCACGCGCACGCGCACAGCCACCCCCAGCCGCGCGCGCGCGCACCCAGCGGGCGCTTTGCACCCCCCCCCTCCCCGCGCGCGCGGCCGGGCTCAGATCAGAATCGCCTCGATGCTCATGGGCCGGGGGCTCGGGCCAGCGCGGACCCGCCCCGCGGCCTCGTCTATCTGATCGACTCATCACCTCTGAGCGCCGGGCGGGCCGGCGGCGGCCTCCGAGCTCCGCTCCCCGCACAGCGCCCGCGGGCTTCGCGGGAGTGGTCTTCTCATCTCGGGCCGGGCGGCCGCCCCCGGCCCGATCGAATAAGATCAGCGTGTAGCCGGGCTCCCAGCAGGGCCGCACACGCACCACGCACACGCACCACGCACCCCCTGCCCGCCCCCGCCCCCGCATCCCCCCGCACTCACTCGCCACCCGCTCCCCTGCTGAGGCGCCGCGCGCGCGGCGACGCCTTTTATACAGCCTGGTCCGCACTGCATCATGGGAGCCCCAGCTTCCTCCATAGAGCTCTCCCGGGACGGGCCGCCACCGCTCTCGGGCGCCCTCTTCGGCCAGGAGGACTCCTCGCAACCCTCTTCGGTGGCCCGCGGCTTTTCACCTCCAGCTCCTTTTGCCCCAAGCCGGGACCTGGGCAGGGTGAGCTGCCACCGGGAAATCCCCGCGTCTCCAGCGAACAACATGATTTTAACAAAACGCATAAACGAGGATTAGCTGAAAAAACTGTATGTTTGACTGAGGGGACATTTTCACACACTAGGAGGCTTACACATCCCCTTGGCTCACCCACGCTGCAGAAATCCGTCTGCAGAACCAGCAGGTACGTTAAACACCTTCCAGCATCGGTCCCAAACCCGAGTGGGCAAAGTCCACAGTGCCTAGGGCAGCTCCATAGTGTGAAATCGCCTTGTTTTAGAGACACTGACAGGAAACCTAAGCTGCACAAATACAAATGTGAGGTAGATCAGTGCCCAGATCTGTGTATATGCAGGAAGGCCAGGGAAAGTCACCATCAATTCTCTGGCTCTAAATATTCAGTTTTTTCCTCCTGTATTTTTCTGTGATTTGCATTTTAGTTTGAGAAATATATTCGGCCTCCTAGTTTACTTGGTACATAGCTTCCAGAGCTTGTGTGATTTCTGGTTTTGTCTATGCAGAGTAGATCACGCCATATGCAGGCACACACAGGCCCAGTCTAGCCCAATTCCATTACATCAGTCACCCCATCTGTGCAGGCCAGAACTGCTAGAACATGCTAACTCCCTACCATGCTGTAGCAGGACCTGGGAACATGTTAGTTTTGTTAGCAGAGAAGGGATATACTAATTTAGACTCCTGGGGGGCTGTAATACTTGGGTCTAATGTTGGTTGTTGGGTTTAGTGTGTGGGTGCTAGAGGTGGTCAGTCTAGATATCCTGCTGGTCCCTTCCAGCCTTAAACTCTATGGTGTAAGTCTTAAAACTTTGTTGAATGAAATTCCTCCATCTGTTCAACTGCATAGTCAGCCCACTCTCAAATTCTGTCCTACAGTGCCCTCTGCCATAAGGCTAGTACAAGCTCCATCTAGCCAGTAACCAGACTAGAGAGAGCGGATGTGGTTTCCAGGCTCTGCTACAACATGGTCAGTTTAGATTCCATTCTAGGTGAGGACTGGAGTTCTTTTTAGCAAATCCAAACAGTGGATTAAGAAGCTACCACATTCATTCACCAAGGGGCAAAATCAGAGAAGTAGAAAGGGGCCGTATGAGAGGAAGGGTGGCACAGCAGACAGGGTGCTAGCATGCAACATAGAAGACTCAGGTTCAAGTCCCTGCTCTGCCACAGACTTCTTGTGTGACCTTGGGCTAGTGATTTAGTCGCACTGTGCCTCAGGTCCCCCTCTGTACAATGGGAGTCATACTGCCTCCCTTCATAGGGGGAGTGAGGATAAACACATTAGAGATTATGTGGTGCCCAGATATTAGGGTCTGGGGGCTGTAGAAGAACCTACTGTGAATGTTATACCATCTTTAGCTTTCACAGTCCCTCAGAACACCAACTTAAATGTCTGATACCCTCCCCCTAACACAGCAGTGGGAAAACTATGGCCTGTCAGGGCTTTCAATCCAGCCCATGGGATTGCCAGTGCAGTGGGGCTTAGGCAGGATCGCTGCGTGCCCTGGCCCTGTGCTGCTCCTGGAAGCAGCCGGCACCACGTCCCTGCGGCCCCAGGGAAGGAGTGCAGAGGGCTCTGCATGCTGTCCTCGCTTGCAGGCACTGCCCCCCCCCTCCCTCCGCAGCTCCCATTGGCTGAGAATGGGGAACCACAGCCAATGGGAGCTTCGGGGGAGGTACCCGCAAGGCATGATGCCAACTGCTTCCGGGAGCAGTGTGGGGCCAAGGCAGGCAGGAAGCCTGCCTTAGCCCCACTGCACGCTGCTGCCACCCCAGAGCCGCTCCAGGTAAGCGGCGCCGGAGTCCGCAATCCACACCCCAACCCCCTGCCCTGAGCCCCCTTCCGCATCCCTCCTGCCCACCAACCTGGAGCCCCCTCCCGCACTCCACACCCCCTCCTGCACCCCAACCTCCTGCCAAGCCCCCTCCTGCACCCTGCACCCCTTGCCCTGAGCCCCTTCCTACACACCACACTCCCTCCCGCACCCCAACCCTCTGCCCCAGCCTGACATTCAGGGCCCTACATTCATGGGAGCTACATTGAGTCCCCATCATCACACACTTAGAGAATGTTTCACAGGGAAGTTTTGTCCCATTAACTCATGTGTACATTAATTGAACAGGTTTCAGAGGAACAGCCGTGTTAGTCTGTACTCGCAAAAAGAAAAGGAGTACTTGTGGCACCTTAGAGACTAACCAATTTATTTGAGCATGAGCTTTCGTGAGCTATCTGATGAAGTGAGCTGTAGCTCACGAAAGCTCATGCTCAAATAAATTGGTTAGTCTCTAAGGTGCCACAAGTACTCCTTTTCTTTTTTATTAATTGAACAGCTGCTTTTTAAGGTGACAGGTCACTGGGCTTAAAAGAAGGTGATACAACATAGAATGCAGGTGGCATTTTTAGCTAAGTAGTTCTAGAACTCCACTGCTCTGGAAATGAAAAACTAAACAGATAGAAAACAGTTTGCAACACCAAATCCCTGAGCTGCCCTCCCAGCTCTTGACAGCACATGGTCAACCAGACCCATTCACATCCCTGCCAACACTAGTGAAACAGGCGCACAAATAAGGTAGCACATAAAAAACTCCATATTCCACTGAGACCTTATCAAAAGCCAGCCAAGTCAATGGAAAGACTCCCATTGACTCCAATGGGTGCTAGCCCCTAGAAAGGCAAAGTGAGGCTGGGAAGGGAATACCTCAGCCTTTGCCAAATGACAATGGACAAAGTCAGTAGGGAAAGACATTTTATTGGCAAGTTTTTTATTCAGGATTTTATAAACAATGGAGAATTTTAAAAAACTAAGCTACAAAAAACTAGTTGAGTGATCCCTTCACTGCAACTACTGTAGGGGATTGATTCCTACATTTCAATCTGGGTGTGTAGAAGCTGGAGAGAGCAGCTCAAGAGAGGTGAAAAACAAATTGAGAAATCAGGCCCATTAGAGATGGAAATAAAATACAGAACAACATCAGTAGAGGAGGCATTTGTCTTTAACAATCTATACACTTTCCAAATATACAAGTTGTGATGTTAAAATGTGGCTTAGACATTATCTTTACTATTAAGTTTAGTTACATAGTTTTCCCACCCCCTCCCCACATACTCCCTCCTTAGTATAAACATCAAGGCTTGTGTTGGCTTCTAAATCACTTTCATCCATGACATCATTCAAGGACAAGGATGATTTGTACAGTATGTCAGGGTGATGAGCACCACTCTTCTAGCCACCTCTATCTCGTGCTACGTTTACACCAACGACACACTGCTATCGCTGAACAGTGATTTGCTGCCCATTGCAATCCAGATCTACTTTCTGCTTGAAAACCTTCTTATGTGAATATAGAAGGTAGTCTTCAGAACCATGTTAGATGGGTTTCACTTTGTTACCTATTGAGAAATTTCAGTTTAGGATATCATCTCCCTAGTCTTAGGCCCCAAAATATGTAGCTCTAACACAAGAGTGTCATTATGGTCAACATATCTCCCTCCCCTGCTGTTCTTACTACAATTATTGGGACTTAAAAGAAATTAACTCTAAAAATAGCTTAAATGCAACCCATTCCCATCTATGTTCTGCCCAACTCAAATTTGTACCTATTTTGGTAGGCCCAAGCAATTAACTGTGAAACAAAACACAAGGTTTTCCTTACACTGACTGTATAATGTTATAGGAAAGACTATTTGATTTATGTACATCCCTACATTAAGTGATCTTTGCTGATTACTTTATAAAGGGATAGGAAGATAAAAACATCTTCTCACTTTACTGAAAGCACAGAGAACTTGGAGCCGTTGTGAAGACCAGAGGGTCTCTCTCTTGGTTTGGAAGAGGCTTGGTAATGGGGGCATTTCCTCTTGGCATCGCCAAACTGGGCTCTGTCCATTCCTTTAAAGAGATTAAATATTGACCTCTCTCTCCGCCTCAGGTAAGTCCTCGTTTTCAGCAGCTTCTCCCAAACAGATTTGTGCACCGAAGCCTTGAGATTCATTTGATGAACAGAACATAAAAAGCCATCACAATGCAGGATATAGCCACTGCTGCATGAAGTCTGGTGCCAATCACTGCAGCTGAAAGACAAAATGAAGATAAGTGGCATCTCCAGCACACTGCTCAGAATGACCCTCCCTAAGGCTCGTAACACCGAAGCGTTGTAGGTAAGTGTCAGACCCATTTTACTGATGGTTGTGATGGAAAGGTTCAGCAGCTGCCTTCCCCCAAGGAGGAAGTTACAGGGAATCAGGAGCAGACCCAGGTGTCTCAGCTCCGGTGCCTCGCTCTAGCCTGCCCAGCGGGTTTCCCGGAGCAAGTGGCCTTGTGCCCTCTGTGACGGGAGCTTTGCAACGCTGAGGGCCCCTCGGGGTCCCCCTTACCTTTGTAGAACACGCCCCAGACCCCGCGCTTCTCTGACAGCAGCCAGGCCTTGAGCCGCGGCACCTTCCGGAAGTAGGCGCAGGTGCAGACGAAGAGCAGGCCGAAGACCAGCACCCCGTCCAGCGAGTAGGCTGCGAGGTGAGGCGAGGGTCAGCGGCTGCAGCAGGCCTTGCTCCGGGTCATCCCCCCCGCTCCCCCGAGTCATTCCCCCCCCGGCCAGCCCCCCGCTCCCCCGAGTCACTCCCCCCCCCGGCCAGCCCCCCCGCTCCCCCGAGTCACTCCCCCTCCCCGGCCAGCCCCCCCGCGTCACCCCCCCCTCACTCCCCCCCCGGCCAGCCCCCCCGCTCCCCCGAGTCACTCCCCCTCCCCGGCCAGCCCCCCGCGTCCACCCCCCTCCTCCCCCCCCCCGGCCACCCCCCGCGTCACCCCCCCTCACTCCCCCCCCGGCCAGCCCCCTCGCCCCGCCGAATCACTCCCCCCCCAGCCAGCCCCCCCACGGCCGGCCCCTCCCCGCCGCCCCGAGTCACTCCCCCCGCCCGGGAAGCCCGGCCAGCGCCGCCCGGCCCGAGGGACCCCCCGCGGAACCCAGGCGTCCCAGCTCGGACAGGACACACCGGGCTACGCCCGCCTCTCACCGTTGGTCATGACGGCGCCGGGGGGGGAGGGGCGGCCGCGTTGAGTCCCGGGCGGCTCCCGTCACCGCATCACACAGACAGGGGCGGCCCCGTCCTTTCTGCGCATGCGCCAACACCGGCCAGCCCGCTGCCAACGCGACAGCGGGACCGCCAGGCAGAACCAGCCGCGCGCTGAAAGCGCTGGCCAGGCGCAGCCAGTCGAAGGCCGAGCGGGCAGGCGACGCCAATCACACGACTTAGCGCGCTTAGGCCTCCTCAATCGAGTACCGATAGGCGACTCCAATTATTTTTTTAATTTACTGATTATTGGTACCAGGCCTAGACCCAAGCTGGGATCAGGGCCGCACTGTGTCGGCGTGGCACGCACGCAGTGAGAGATAGTCCCTGTCCCAAAGAGCTCGCGGTCTGCACTGCCACAGCTCCAGGATTGTCCTGGAGTCTCAAGGAATCAAAGCTGAATTTTTAATGGCGGGTCATGTCACGGAGTGAAACCAACCAGAATTGGCAACCCTAGGCACAGAGTGGGAGGGTAAACTGAGGCACAGCGAGGGGAAGGGACTGGCCATAAGTCACCCAGCAGTAGGGTGACCAGGTGTCTGGTTTTTGACTGGAACACCCGGTCGAAAAGGACCCTGGTGGCTCTCGTCAGCACCGCCGACTGGGCCATTAAAAGTGTGGTTGGTGGTGCGGTGGCACTAAGGCAGGCTGGTCCCAACCTGTCCTGGCTCCACACTGTGCCCCGGAAGCAGCCAGCAGGTCCGGCTCCTAGGTGGGGGGCCCACGGGGCTCTGTGCACTGCCCCTGCCCCAAGCACCAGCTCTGCACTCCCATTGGCCAATTCCCGGCCAATGGGAGCTGGGGGGATGGTGCCTGCAGGCGAGAGCAGCACGTGGCACCTCCTGCCCCCCCACCTAGGACCTGGACTTGCTGGCTGCTTCCAGGGTGCATGCAGCATAGTGCCAGGACAGGCTGGCGGCCTGCCTTAGCTCCCCCTCCCCCTCGCTGTGCTGCTGACTGGCAGCCACCCAAGCTAAGCCCACCCCCAACCCCATGGCCTAGCCCTGACCCCCCTAACCTGGAGCACCCTCCTGCACCCCAAACCCCTCATCCCCAGCCCCACCCCAAAGCCTGCACCCCCAATTAGAGCCATCATCCCCTCCAGCACCCGAAACCCCTGCCCCAGCACAGTGAAAGTGAGTGAGGGTGGGGGAGAGCAAGCTACTGAGGGAGGGGGAATTTAGTGAGTTGGAGGTGGGGCCTCAGTGAAGGGGTGGAGCTAGGTGTTTGGTTTTGTGCGACTAGAAGGTTGGCAACCCCACCCAGCAGGCAAGTGGCAGAACTGGAGAAAGAACAGAGGTGTCTTGACTTCCAGCCCAGTACCCCATCTACTAGACACCTCTAAATTATGCCATAGTAGATACACAGAGACATCCCTCTTTCCATTACTAGCTCTGAGCTGCGGCTTTGCTGCTCAGGTTTATGGTTTTATGGTAAGTATAAGTGAGGGTAGGTGAGTGTGTGTGTTGTGCAGGGAGCTTTGTGTTGTTTTGTGCGAGTGGTGAATGAGGGGTGTTTGCTGCAGCAAGGGGCTATGTGTCGGAGCAGCTAGAGAGGCAGTTCTTGATTTAGTCCTATGTGGAACACAGGATCTGATCCAAGAGGTGAATATAGCTGAACCGCTTAGTAATAGCAACCGTAATGTAATTATATTTAACATCATTGTAGGGGGGAAATACCAAGGAAGCCTACTACAGTAGTATTTATCTTGAAAAACGGGAAGTATTCAAAATTGAGTAGGCCAGTGAAATGGAAATTAAAAGGAGCAGTGTCATAGGGTCCTTGGTGGGCTGGGAGGCCGAGGGGTTAACATCCACTCAGTCATGGGGAAGTGGTAGGGGAACCCTGGCCCACCAACTCCACCAAGTTCTGACCCAGGGCCCTAGGAGGGTCAGCAGCGTTTGACTTCCAGGGCGACCCTCTGAGTTAACCTCTGTGACACTCTGTGCCCCAAAGCAACACCCTGACACCCCCATATTCACCACTGTCATATACATATATGTTTTGTACAAAGTATGCCTTGGGAGGTATCATTCTAAAAGTCTTCATCTATTAAACATTAATATCTCGTTAGTTGTATGCGCTATCATTGTATGTGAGGTTATGAAGTTTTGCTAGGTGCTATGTGTTTCTATGTACCCGCAGGGCCAGTGAGGCAGTTAGAACTGCAGAGTCTCAATGCGTGGATGAGACGATGGTGTAGGGAGGAGGGGTTTAGATTTATTAGGAACTGGGGAAACTTTTGGGAAAGGGGGAGCCTGTACAGGACGGATGGGCTCCACCTAAACCAAACTGGAACCAGATTGCTGGCACTTAACATTAAAAAGGTCTTAGAGCAGTTTTTAAACTAAGGGCTGGGGGAAGCTGACAGGTGCAAAGGAGCATGTGGTTCAGACAGAGACATCCCTTAGGGGAGGATCTATTAATGGAGATTCTCTATGTCCTAGTGAGGACGAGAGGATGAAAAATGATAAAATACAGGCAGGGTCTGATCATAAACAGTCAAATAAAGAAGAGTCCCATTCAGTTACATCGTGTAATGACAGACAGCTAAAAGGACACAAGTTTTGAAGTGCTTATATACCAATGTTAGAAGTCTAAATAATAAAATGGGTGAACTAGAGTGCCTCGTATTACATGAGGCTATTGATATAATAGGCATCACAGAAACTTGGTGGAATGAAGATAATCAATGGGACACAGTAATACCAGGGTACAAAATATATCGGAAGGACAGAACAGGTCATGCCGGTGGGGGAGTGACATTGTATGTGAAAGAAAGCGTAGAATCAAATGAAGTAAAAATCATAAATGAATCAAACTGTACCATAGAATCTCTATGGATAGAAATTCCATGCTCTAATAATAAGAATATAGCGGTAGGGATATATTACCGACCACCTGACCAGGATGGTGATAGTGACTGTGAAATGCTCAGGGAGATTAGAGAGGCTATTAAAATAAAAAAAAACAATAATAATAATAATGGGGAGATTTCAATTATCCCCATATTGACTGGGTACCTGTCTCCTCAGGATGGGATGCAGAGAGAAAGTTTCTTGACACCAAAAAGAAAAGGAGCACTTGTGGCACCTTAGAGACTAACCAATTTATTTGAGCATGAGCTTTCGTGAGCTACAGCTCACTTCATCGGATGCATGCCGTGGAAACTGCAGAAGACATTATATACACACACAGAGACCATGAAACAATACCTCCTCCTGCCCCACTGTCCTGCTGGTAATAGCTTATCTAAAGTGATCATTAAGTTGGGCCATTTCCAGCACAAATCCAGGTTTTCTCACCCTCCGCACCCCCTCCCCCACACACAAACTCACTCTCCTGCTGGTAATAGCCCATCCAAAGTGACCACTCTCTTCACAATGTGTATGATAATCAAGGTGGGCCATTTCCTGCACAAATCCAGGTTCTCTCACCCCCTCACCCCCCTCCAAAAACCACACACACAAACTCACTCTCCTGCTGGTAATAGCTTATCCAAAGTGACCACTCTCCCTACAATGTGCACGATAATCAAGGTGGGCCATTTCCAGCACAAATCCAGGTTTTCTCACCCCCCACCCCCATACACACACAAACTCACTCTCCTGCTGGTAATAGCTCATCCAAACTGACTACTCTCCAAGTTTAAATCCAAGTTTAACCAGAACGTCTGGGGGGGGGGGGGGGGAATAGGAAAAAACAAGGGGAAATAGTCTACCTTGCATAATGACTTAGCCACTCCCAGTCTCTATTTAAGCCTAAATTAATAGTATCCAATTTGCAAATGAATTCCAATTCAGCAGTTTCTCGCTGGAGTCTGGATTTGAAGTTTTTTTGTTGTAAGATAGCGACCTTCATGTCTGTGATTGCGTGACCAGAGAGATTGAAGTGTTCTCCGACTGGTTTATGAATGTTATAATTCTTGACATCTGATTTGTGTCCATTTATTCTTTTACGTAGAGACTGTCCAGTTTGACCAATGTACATGGCAGAGGGGCATTGCTGGCACATGATGGCATATATCACATTGGTGGATGTGCAGGTGAACGAGCCTCTGATAGTGTGGCTGATGTTATTAGGCCCTGTGA